GATGGAGTAGTATAGTAGTAGTACATACAACTGAACAAAGTACGTCGACGCCACTGCATGCAGCACGGACATGAGTCTCTGGGAAGCTTTCGTTTGATGGAGTCACCACCGCTGGTGGTCTGCTATGTCCCGACTAAGCACTTGCATTACTCGTGCAACGTCCTACCAAGATACGGGGCTAGTGGTGGAGTTGGTTTGGGTGGACTTGACTTTGTGTTTCATAGCGGTCAACTGGGTTTCAAGTTCCCGTACTTGGTCTCGCAGATCGGCGATGGTCGCGGCGATAGGTCGTGGTGCTGTACGTTTGGCCTTGCGTGTAGGAATGTAGTTGGGGTCGGAGCCGCTGCTACCGCTATCCTCGTCGACGACCGTGTTGGCCGACTCCTCGTTGTTCGATGGAGCGGAAGGTTGAGTTGACGATGCCATCTCCGCGGCGATGCGTCGAATGCGTGTCGCGCCCACTCGCAAAAGATGATGGATTTGGTTATGCGACAGCCCATCGTGCAGCAAATCGGAGATCATTTGGTTGCCGATTGTCCAGTCGTGCTTGTAAGTGGAGTCGAGGACACCGAACGCGACCGTGCGTCTCTCGGCTTCGTCTCGGCCTAGATGATGCGTGGCAGCCGCGAGGGCGTTGGTGTTCTTCCGGGCTTGACCCCTGCCGTCGGGCGGTGGCGGCGGTAGTGTGGTCATGGTGGTGCTGGTCGATTGTTTGATTCGTGTCGAGTACGAACCTCGGCAACTTGTTTCGTCATTCACAAATGACATAACAACAGACCAACCAAATATGGTGAGCTTGTTTCGACAATTACAGTATGCATACTTGTTGTACCGGTACATTTGACTTGGCATACAAATATCGATTGGGAATGGACAATAATCATTGCATCCAAGATAGTCCTCTTGCTGGTTGTTGTTCTTTCATGGGATACGTCTTACCTTTTCGCACAGTCCTTTGCTCCATAGAGCGTCTGGCATCCTGATCACAGCCCATCGCCTTACCGCTCTGCGTCGCGTGGAAAAAGTCTTCACCTTCCTGGATAATATAAAAATTTTGAAAAATTATCAAGTTTACCCCGTTTCGTTTAAGGGGGGAGATAGTATTAATAGTATATTCACCGGTCAACAAACCAAAGTAAGTATACATAAGAGTAGGCTTGCTTATAGTATGGTTTCGTCAAGGTGAGATATTCTATCACCCAGAACTTCAAGTTACGCGATGCTGTGATCAGAAATGGAGTATTTTTAATCACTTTTTGTCCAGGTGATAAAATCTATCACCTGAGATAAACCAATCAAGTCAGTATTGTGCACTGTGATGGGTGTACTTCTTGTTTAATTCAATGTCGAATATATATTAGTAATATATACTACCTCCAGACGGGAATAGACCTTACTTTTGAAAAACGTGGAAGGACGGAAATAGACCTGACATATTACATCCCCAAGAAATATAATAATTAAATGTCCTGAAATTTACTAAAGCCTAGATAATTAAATAACAACTTTTTTATTTAATTATTGGATACTCAAACTCATATTCATGTGATTTTTGCAATCAAGCCTACACTCCTTCTTCGTCTTCCTGGTGCGTTGATCCCAATCGATTCCATGGTAGAGAAGATGTCGCTCATCTCCAAATCGGTAGCCGTTTGGACCGCAAGGTCCTGCATGACCTTCTCAAGGTCTTGCTCGTTTAGCAAAGCACACCCCGTGTCGAACACATCGCGGTCGCAGTGGATGGTCTCAGGTAGGCGACCTGACTTCTTGAGTGCCTCCTTCTTCATGTGGGGCACTTTGTAGGAGTTGCCGCCGCCGCCCATGATGACCTCGCGGAGGCAGCACTGAAGCGTCAAGAAATTCCGCTCCAGCTACCATGGGTCCACGTCGTGCCATGCTTGGTTCGTGGCAGCAACGATTTCCTCGTACGTGTTTGAATGATGGTTTTGCTGTAGGGACTGAATGGTGCGAAAGAAGCCGAGGTCAAGGACATTCATGTCCGGCGAGTTGGGGACTGGCACTCCACGCGCATGGACCAACCGTCGGACGTGCACGCCGCCACAACCGACTCGTCCCACGTCGGGACATGTGGGCGAGCGTTGTCTTGTTGGATCACGATGCTACGGGTACTGTTTGCTGGCCATTTGTCCTTGATTGCTGGTATGAGGTTCTCGATCAACATCTTCATGTAGACAGGACGCGTCACGTTTTTAGGCCTGAGTTCGAGCGTGCCGGCGGGACGATTTCGTGACGAAGGAGCAGCCGGAACGACGTGCGTGAAGTGCCAGGTCCCAATTTTGCCGTCAAACCACTCGGCCTTGGCGTCGTCCCATCGTGGGCGGGCCACAGCCGACAAAAACATTACCTTGGTTATGAAGCTTTTGCTCTGAGTTGAGCGATGGGGAGGGACTTCGCCGGGGAGCAGGTACATTTTTGATTTGATCTTCGTCGCGTGGAACTACTTTTCATCGACGTGGACGTAGTCGTACATGTCAGCAAAACGGAAGTTGTTGCTGGGTCAGACAAATTTCATGACCCAGTTTACCCGGGCCACTTTGTTCACGTCCGTTAGCTTAGGTTTTATGTGCGAATTATACTTTACCATGAAACCGCGTTTATAGTAGTCTTTGAGTGTGCTCGAGGGTAGGCCGATCGCATGCGCGATCCGCTGGAGAGTCGTCCGCCGTTGTCGTGGTATCGCGCGGGCGGATTCGAGCCGGAAGGTCCGTGTACTTCAGTTTACGACCAACGTGCCCCTTCTTTTGAGAAGCGATGTCGTGGCAGATAATCTGTTGCGCAGATTGGCCGTCTACACTGATGGAAACGTTGGCACGCTTCCAGATCTCGGCAATGGTCTGTCTGGTGCGACCAAAGATCTGAGCCACCTCCTTTATGGCGCCATGGCGAAGCTTGCATGGAGCCTGTACTACACGAAGTAGCAGGTGGTCGACGACAGCGCGGCGTTGATCGGAGGTAAGCTCTTTCATTCGAAATCAGCGATGCACGCCGTGATTTGCCGCTCAAAAGACACCAACATTCTGTTTTTCGGATAATTTTTTCTTTGTCCGTTCTTTTTATCTTGCTTTGAGTATTATTTTTTCAATAACCGTGTTCGTTTGGATTCAACTCTTTTTTTTCAGATTCTAGCCAATTGGATGCAGTAGATTGAGCTCTTCGCACATCTAGTTTCAGATTTTTAACATTTGAGAAATTGCAGAAATTTCATCAATTTTTGTCAAATGTTAGATCTATTTTCGTCTGGAGGTAGTAGTTGTACTTTCCTCCTTTTACGAGTTCTTAATGGCTTAGGCCCAAGTGAGAGATTCTATCACGCAGAAACAGAATCTCTTCACAGTCAACTGTCGGCAGCTCAACTGTCGACGTAAGAAACTGATGCAAACGGATAATTATCCGGGGAATATATGCGTGTAATTGTCCACATGTCGCCTACGTTACCATGCTCCTTTCCATTTCCAGCTTCGTCGCGGTATGCTTTTGCCCGTACCCTTGTAACCCCGGAACCCCGAAATCCCTTTTGTTTACATATAATGCGTGCCCCTAAACCACTTGTGTTTTGGTTATGTTGCATCGCCAGTGCTTAGCTAACGCTAACCACTGTTCAAGTCCGAAATGCACTTGGCATACAAATACATAAATTAATTGTGCATGTACATCCAACTGCATGCAATGAATCATTAAGCGTTGCACAACACACCAACCCGCTTTAACACGAACAGAAGCCCTTATACTAGTACCTTATATTAGTGAAGTTGAGAAATATTCGCACCAGATGTTTTTGGCTCATATATGAGTTTGTATACAGATCGAATCTGACACTAGACCTTTATTTTTTTGTTGGTGACATGATTGAAGCAATGACGTCATATTTTGGTTGCTCTGGTTGGCGCAACGAAGTATAAAATAGGCAGTAAATTATCTCACAATCACTAAATTTAGTATTACTAATCATTTCTAGGAGTACTAACAGTGTCCGACAAATGCCCCGACAAGTCATTAAAAATACAACAGTACAAACGGATGAGTTTCAAATGTATTACAATTCAAAAATGCGAGGGAGGGCCTTTTCAAACGAGCTTCTGACCGTCGAGGCACTGATTGAATCCCAAGCGGCGATGGTTCGTTCAACCATTTTCAGGCGCTTTTCCGACGCCGTCACCACCGGCGTTTCCAACAACCATTTGGAGCGCAGTTTCGCTTTCAATGGTCCCATCACACCAACATCCAATGGTTGACAATGACTGGTTGCATTCGGTGGCAGCGGCTCCAAGAAGCCAAACAACCCCACTGTTTTGTACGACATCGCAGATACGTGCGATGCTAGGTTGTCGACAAGAATCACAGACGGACCAATCAGCTCGAACTTCAACAGCTCTTGTAGGTAGAACACCCACACGCTTTCATCCATCCAAGCCTTCTCTTGAACAGCATAGACGTGGCCTTCTGGAAACGTTGGTAGCTCGTCGATTTCGATGGATCCACCAGGAGTTCCCCGCAGGATGAAAAGTATTGGAAGTTTCGTCCCTAAAACAGACCATCAGATGAGCAAAATGATCAGTCTTTCATACCGTCAGCATAAATCGACATGACTGCTGTAAGACGATCTGAGTGCTTCTCGGACGCCTCAACGTTGGAGTCCTCGCCAACCGCACACCAAGTTCGTCGTGGAGGCATGTCATAAAACACAGCCGTCTCATCTACATTCACAATATCTCGTAGGGGTTGCGCGTCATGTTTGACCCAAAACGACGCCGCAAAGGTCGATCGGACTTGTTCCAGCTCCAACAGCTTGAGCTTCGAGAAGCATGGTATCCGTTGGCTGAATCCGTGTCGATGTGCAAATCGTTGGCACAGTCCAAGCAGGGCATGGTAAGCGTGAATGTCCGATGTCTTGGTTGACATGTATCCTTCAAGCCATTCGTGCTGGTGTTTCTTGATCCATGTAACCAAGTGAGCGGTGGTGAGAAAGTGGCTTTCATGCCTCACCGCTTGCATGAACGCCAGGAGTTCCGAACCAAACAGGATCGACGATGGTCGACCTTGCCCACCAAGCGTCGGACGCTTCTTGTTTCGGGTTGCGTTGAGGTACAGATCCCGCTTCTTCCACCATGTCTGCCAGGTGGACCTGGGGATCCCTTCGGAGTAGCAGAAGTCAGTTGGATTCATGCCACTGGATCCGAATGCAATGAAGAGCTGGAGTCTTGCCTCGATTGTGTACCGCCTCTGGACTCGCTGTGGGAGGATCGTCGTGCGCATTTCAAATTTTAAATGCGGGTGTTTCAACAAGCAACCAATTAGAGGGCATTTTAATGTTTAAAATATTTTCTTCCAATCAAGTATTGGTGTGTGTTTTTGCATATAAGTTTAGCAAGAGTCTGGTCTCCTCAGAAGAATAGTATTATTCAAACCATATGCTGCGAGTTTTTTCCAACTTCACTGTAGTGCGCAATACACAGTACAACAACACATTCAGCAACGCATACATTATATAATTACCAACATACCGAACGATGAAAGAACAAGTCAGTTCTGAGGGCGCCAAACTTTTTGGTGGTGGTGCAAGCTCTGGATTCATACAAGATAACTCTAGGGGGGCATTTATGACCTATACGTAAATTTATATGTAAGCCAACTCCATGTTTATAGGATGATTGCACATGCGTACTTGTAATGTGGAGGTGGTACCTGACAGTGTGTTGATCGTCGTGGGCCTAGAAATGAACACGAAGGTTGATTGATAACTGTTTGGATGTGATGTGACGTTCATGGACATACAAGCTGTTGGGTTGCCTAGGCTTGTGGTTTGTGCTTTTGATATGCGGCGCCGTCGTGTGCGCCATCGGCCCGTTCACATCGACGCTTCTTTCTGAATAGTGGGTGTCAGAGTTACAAGTGCTTGGCAACAAGTTGAAACGTTAACTCCGATTGGTTAAAATAAAAAAAATCTACTTGTCGATGTTAGAGTAACTTGCCAGAAACACTCGACAAGTCGGCAAGTAACCATTTTGACAGGATACACGTTCGTCCTCGAAAAGATGCAATTTGAAGGGATCCAGGTTGTGATTGGTTAAATCGATGAACGTCCTCGTTGTTGCTTGAAACTGGAGTTGCAGCTCACATCGGATATTCACGAGACGCCATGCCACCACGAAAAGGCAAGTACACTGATTCGCAAGCCAATACTAGTAGCGACACCATCGAATGGATCCACGAAAAGACCACATCGAAACGAATCCTGTGGACCAAAGATGATGTGGGGGACGGCAAGTCCAGTATTGACGTGGTAATAGCTTGGATGTCAGTCGAAACAAACTACCTCGGCTGTAAAGGTGGAGACAAACACTACGGGTCCACTAAAGCGTCCCTCGCATCGGAGGTTGTTGCGAAGCTTTCAACGCACAGGATTCATCGCAAAGAAAACACACACAGGACAACGAAAGACGCAGTGCGTGTGATTGGTTAGCGAACACTGGTCAGGGTGTTGAAGGTGAAGATAGCATTCAAAAGGAGGTAAAACGAATGTGTCCGTACTACTACACTCTTGACGACGTCATGCGCGACTGGGCCTCGATAACCCCGCTGGTGACGAGCGAAACCCTCTACAACGCATCATCGGGCGACGACGATGAGACGCAGGACGACAAAAAGGCGCGGAGTTCTGCCAGGAAGCGATCGGCTGCGTCCGAGAAGCTCGACGAATGTGGCGACATTAACGCTCGCGCATACTAATTAATGAAGGAGCAATTGGAGTTTACCCGTCATGTGGAGCACCAGAAGCTGGAGGTGGATCGTCAACGCGCTTGTTTTGTTTGATCATCCATCCATGGCGACAGCCTGGGATGGCGAGGTGAATCGCATTAGAGTCTCATGAGTATATCATTTGTGGTAGAAGGACGTCGCTCTGAACACGGTGTCCTCATAACCGGATGCGCTTGTGTTTTGTTTGATCATCCATCCATGACGACAGCCTGGGATGACGAGATGAATCGCATTAGAGTCTCATGAGTATATCATTTGTGGTAGAAGGACGTCGCTCTGAACACGGTGTCCTCACATACTCTGGAAGGACCTCAGTAACGTTACTTTGTCCCGGCACGAGAATGACGTGAAGTCTTTCATCGACCTCGCTGCCAAAACCCCGAAACCAGATTATCTGTACTGTACAATGATGCTGCAAGTGGGTACTTCCTCTGTTAGCTATTACTGTCACCATTGGAAAATCGACTTTTATGGTATTACTGACCCCATTTTAATATTATTGGACGAAGAGGAAACAAATGTATTTCATTGGTTAAAATGTCCCTTCAAATATCATAGACCCGACGTTTGGACGTGGTAGCTGTTTGCCTCGAAGAGAAGCGACACAGGACAGGACAGATTAGTAGGAAGATTACCGGTACGTCTCAAGGCATCTTTCTTCAAATGGGGTAGCTTGAAGTGGTTACCACCACGGTGCTCCAGTACAAGTCGCATGACACCCTGCAGGGTCAGGAAAACATTGGCCAACTTCTCGCTCTCGAGAGTTTCGAATGTGATCATTGTTGACGCTATCACCTCATCAACGGTGCGACTCACAGTCTTGTACTGTAGAGTCTGGATAGAGGCAAAGAAGCCAAGGTCAAGCACGTTGAGGTCAGGACTGTTGGGGGGTTGGCAGCGAACAACGAAAGTCCACCCGTCGGTGGAAACTTGAACAAGGGTGGCATTGTCGATGGATCGGTGAAGCGTAGCGTTGTCGTGTTGCAGCACGACGCGCTTGTTCAAACTTCGGAAGTTCGCCTTGATTGCCGGAATCACCTTGTTGACAACGTAATCTCGGTACGTGGCGGAGTCAACATTGATCAGTGTTGTGACCATTGTCCCGCTGGCCGATTGCGTGAGTTCCGAGCGGCTGGGACTTGAGTGACTAACGGCCACATCCCAATCTTGCCGTCAAAGTCGTCCTCTTCTCGCGGGCGAGCAATAGCGCAAAGAAACATGACCTTCGCAATAATGCGCTTGGACTTGCAGGCGCGGTTTCCAACATCTTCTCCATCGACAAGGTACGTCTTCCGGCTGTCCTTGTCGGCATTGAACCACGTTTCGTCCAGGTGGACCACGTCCCATATCCCAAAAAAGTCGAATTCTGGCGAGCTTGAGTGTCGCTGTGTTGCCTGTCTTGGAACGGGTCCAAAGTGTGCGTTCGGTTTTCTGGTCCAACTCGAATTACGCTGCAATCGCTTTGATTGTGCCGCGCGGCAGCTTCCCCAAACACATGCTGTTTCGAAGAGCGGTAGTTACTTCACGCTTGCGCGCCGCAGACAATTCGCGTGTCGACGGGTACTTTAAAAGTGCCTCAGGTTACCTAGTTTTATTCATTTTTTTTTAATTTATTTAATTTTATCTGGTGGTGTTTGCACGATGTCGATTATGACCACCAAAACTTCACTTTGGTGATTGGTGGTCAATGGACAATACCTGTAGTTTTTTATTCTCTTTTTTTCATGATATTCTGTATTAAATTTGGACAAAAGATGAATTTTGGGGTCACTTGGAAACCTTATGGTGACAGTAATAGCTAACAGAGGAAGTAGGATGGTATCGCTTCATTGGTGCTGGGCGAGAATCCAATTACTAAGCTCCAATCCGACTGTAGGCATACAATCCTCGCCTTTGTATGCGTTGGAAGTGTCACTTACCGAGGGACTCCTGCCAGCATCATTATTGAGTGATGATGGCCAAGATGGCAACTAGCCGTAAGATAGAGGTGATATAAAACGCTCCATGTTTTTTCCGTTATATAGAGGATTGCATCCGCACAAATTCTAGTACGCCAAAGACACGAGATCCTAGCGTACGACGGTAACTTGAAAAACATGAAACTTAAACCTGGTGGAAGATACGAGGTCTTTCCCGACCCGCCAGGACTCATCGAGTTCATTAACCACGTTCGGGACAACGAGCGCGCCCTCACGACCACACACCTCATCCTATGGATCAAGGCCAACCAGCGCGAGTGGTTGACAACTACCTCGCCACCAAGCAGCAGCGGACGTCGTACGATTCTCTCCTCCGCCTACTGCAGCGATTCTGTGATCGCCACGGCTTATCCTACCAAGAACAAGGTCAAGCAAGCTGATCTTGCTGATGTGAAGAGCGAATTTGCCGCGGAGTTCTAGCGCGAGTACATTGCCTACGGCAAGGACTGCGTCTACAACGTCGACGAAACGGGCATCTATTACGACATGCCTCCGCGCTACATTTGGGCCGTGAGAGGCGGAAGCTCGAAAATCTCCAGCGGTGAGAAGCATTCGCTTCGCATGACCGCGGTCCTCACGGTGCGAGCTGACGGCACGAAACTGCCCATCCTCTTTATCATGAAGGGGGTGCCCGGCGTTCGCATCGAAAGCGGCGAGCTGGCCACGTTTCCATCCGGCCATCACTATGCGGTTCAGGAGCGTGCCTGGATGGACAACCGAGTCTGGGCCACGTACCTCCGGGATGTACTTGGAGAAGCGATCGAGGAGCCGTCAGTCGTATTGCTGGACAACTTCGAGTCACATGTGTCGGGTGAGTCATACAACATCATGTACGAAGAGCTTGGGGCTCACCTGTGTGCGTTGCCGCCGAATGCGACGTCCGTGTGTCAACCCTTGGATGTAGGAGTGATGGCGCCGTTTAAGCGCAACCTCCGCAACTTGTGGCTGCTCGAAGACATCATCGTTGGCGATGATGATCCATTTTCACTTACCGCGCGTGAAAAGTGCATGGCATGTGAAGCGGTCGATTGCAGCGTGGGACCTCGTGTCGAGCCAAGAGATCCGCCGCAGTTTTGAGAAGCTCTCCCTCAGGCCAAAAAATTTCAGCGTTATAAAAATTCCCACTTAAATTAATTTAGTTATATTCCTTTTTGTATTGGATTACGATTAATGTGAAAATTATTGGAAAAAGTTTGACACTGCCCGGGAATTGAACCCGGGCCCCTTCCTCTATCGTTTTGATGCCGTCGCCCTTAACCATTGAACTAAGTAAAAGTCTTACGCTTTGTCTGCTCTAACGCTTACGCTTTGTCTGGAATCATCCACCCGTTCATATATTTCACTGTGGGACACCTTTGTAAACCGATTACCTTGTTCTTTACATCCCATGTTGTTGGTGTTTGGAGCCATTGCGATGTGAATCACACTACACAATTTAATTACCTGTAATAAAATGAATTGACCTCAGGTAGTGTGAATAAAAATTTCAGTATTGCACACTGATTGGCTCAAAACGAAACGTACATCGAAGTTAGCAATCCAATCAAATGATACAATTCACGTAGGATTCGAAGACAAAGTAGGCGTTGCATTCCGTCGTTCCCTGTAGCTAACAGTTACAGAGAACTGCGTGGGACTGGCGCACAGTAGTACTCGAAAGAATTATTTAAATTTGTAAGCGTAGAAATCCAAACGAAAACGAAACTATATTCGCCAATCGCAGCGTCCCCCCAACATAAGCCGTGATTGGTCAGTTCAAATGGGAGATTTAAATCTAATTGGCTGACTTTGGATGACATTTGACTTGCAAGCATTCTTCCCCGTGAACCCGTCCGCTCGAAACAACCCCATCAACCGAGACGCCCCAGCCCCCACTCCTGCCAACACCCTCCCTGGCTCAATCAGTCCGACCCCCCCTGCCGCCAACCCCATCCCTGGCTCTAATGCTCAATCACCTCCTGCCCTCAGACAAGTCCCTCAAGCCCCCCTCGGTGGCGCCACAGATCAAAGTAACCAACTATCCAACCAAGTTGACATGCAAAACAACTTTGGGGGGATGCCACCGCCTAACCAAATTGGCGGCCAGAACGTCGGGATGGGGGGGGACAACTCGATGCTTGGAGGAGGTCAATCTGGAGTCGGTATGGGCAACGGCGATCAAGGCACTGGAAATGGTCTGTCGTCACCTGTGATCACGGGCTACGGCGGGAACAGCGAAGGGGATCATAACGCTGTCACCACTGCCCTCCAAACCCAACGAACATGACGTCTAACATCACCGCTACGATGGCGGCGGCACCGTCTACTACTGGAGCAGTGACCACGGCGACTCCGAAAACTACCTCGGTCCGCAGTGGAGCGCTGACAGTCACGACTACTGCAGTTGCGATTATCGCACTTCTAGCGACAGCTCTAACTATGGCGTAGAGGGCGCGCCAGATTGAATGACCATACTTGCATTGAAATATAACGTAAATGAAGGGCCAATGTTAAAAAGTGCTGGCTGCATCTTGTCATGTACTACATATTGGCTCAATGAGATACGGACACTCAGTTCAAAAGTTCGCATCCGTAGACTGTCATGCGCGCCGTCAATCGGCCCATGATCGCGGCTTTGATCGTCGAGTTGACTTGACGGGGTCGATAGCTAACTCATCCAACGGCGGAGCGGACCCTGTGTCGCCAGAGGTTGACATCGTTGGGGGCGGAGCTGTCGCCGTGGACTCCCGCCGGCCTTTCGTCACTTGACGGTACTGGTACCACATCGTTAACGTCACGTAGGTCGTCCCGACAAACACTGAGTTGCGCACCGATGCGCTGGATGCAAGTACTGCAGCGAAGAGTAGAAGCACTGCCACATATGGATGCCCAGTGACCAAGGACAATGCAGACTCCATGACCTCGTGGGGAAAGAGGAATGAATGAATGTTTGTTTCATCCCCACATCATGTATGTTTTTATTGTTTTGACATGATATTTAAAATACATTTCGAAATAAACCTCAACGTTTTAAACTGTGTTTTAATCAAATGTCGACGATTAACGTAACGTTAAATGTAGGATTCACGTGACGACGAAACAAACAAGTAGTTAAACTCGAAATGGTGTTGTTGGAATCCTTCCGAGTATGTTAGTACATAGTAACTCGCCAATAAACCTGTATGTAAGCTATCTGTACCGGACGTTATGATATCTCCACTACTATTAATATTAATAAGTACTAGTGTAGTAGTTTTACAACCACATGTTAAACGTTTAACCTAATGTTGGGACGAGTACAGTAAACTTGATATTTGTATCGAAGGGAGAATATATCCAATTTCCGGGGTATTCATTTATAGAGGAGCTAACGAGTGCGGCCACACAAAGCGAGGGTAGAAGATCTTTGGGAACATGGATACAAGCGGCGCGGCGGAGAAGGAGCGGCGCCAATCGACATTGCTTTCCGAGATGCTTCAAGATGAGAATGCTTCCTCCAACAACCGATCCCAGCGCATATTGGTGCATATATCTATAATGATGTGGCATGCATCTCACGTCGTCGTAGGGAGAACTCGCGGTGCTATGTTCAGATCGCGATGCTGTCCTTACCGCGGACTCGTTGCAGTATTTAAGTTCTGCGGGAAAAGCCGAAGTAGTCAAGCTCATGGCGGAGAAAGTACCGTCCACCAGTACTAGTTCCTCTAGCCATAAGAAAGACGACAGCAGCAGCAACCACGCGCGCATCTCATCGGATTCCGCGCGTCGGCAGCGGGTGGAAGAACTGACGCGATTCTTCATGGAAGCCAAGTCGGATATTGAATTCGCGCTCAGTGGAGGTGGGGAACGTCGACGTGACTTGCGTGCGACGTCGGCCGCGGAACTCGAACTGAACGACGACGACCGCGACATGATGGATAGCAGCAGCAGCAGCGACAACATCTCGTCATCGCCCATGGTACTGCCCCCGCCGTTGAAACCATTCGCGGACGAGATTGCAGGCGACAGCGACGATTCCCCTTCGTCGTCCACGCCGCTTCTACCTCGTCCTCCATCGTCTGGGGGCGCTCCTCTGGCCGCCGCCCCGAAGCTCAATGTCACCGTACCCGTGCATTTTCAGCTTCTAGAGGACCCCGTGGACTCGCGCGTGTTCCACCCGTTGCTTCTGTCCATCCGCGAGACGGATCCGTTGTTGTATGGCACGATCGTGTGCCACCCCCTTGTCACAGGACAAGACATATCGCCCAAAAAGCAAGACAGCAAACGCGGTAAGAAGAAGAAACAGCGCTCCAGCACTACTGCTGCTTCTACCCCTGCTAAAGCCAAGAAGGCCGACATGTACCATCCCGACTTTTCATTGCCGCCGTTGACGGCCGAGGACACGGCGCTGAATCTGGCCCGATTTATTGCGCGCGCCATCGCCGATCGATCGATGCAAGGGCTATTGTTGGTGGTCAAAGTCATGTCGTCGTACCCGTGGCACGACAAGATCCTCATCCCTGTGGGATCTCATTTACTAAGTGGCCAAATGAAGCCGCCGTCGCCGCCGCCGCCGTCTGTGGAGAAGACCATGGACTCGTCCATGGATTTCATCACCAGCGTCATGGAACTCGAGGGTCAATTGGATCCGTTGGCCGCACTCCGATCTCGATTGGGTACGTCCACGATATGACACACTGTTATTGTATATATTTCCACACATATCTTTTTTATGGGGCTTGATATATTGTCTATGATTGATATACTACTGTATATATACCTATGAACCAACTTCATTTCATTCTTGTTTTGAGGCAAGTGGGACGAGTATCTGCATAATTATAGCATGTGTTTTATTTATTGTTTGTTCAAAATATGAATCATATATTTTAGGTGAAGGGGAATGTTTGACTATTATGTCGTGAACATTGTATTCCCCTAGTATATATATTGTATATATATATATATATAAATATTTACTATATGTAGGGAATATCGATATATATATATATATAAATAGATAAATATTTACGGGATATGTGTAGGTCGATTTGAAGAACGTCATCATGCCATGGACAACGACACTGAAGAAGAAGATCGACTGGTCGAGCAAATGAGTTTGCACATGCCGAATTTGGACGAAGGTATTGCCTTTTTTTTTACCCAAAATTTGGACTAAATCGCCAAATCTATTGATCGATTATTCTTGGTACTGTGAATCATTTTGTATGTAAAAGGTGTGCTGTGGTGATTGGAAGTATCACACTAATTGAAGTCATACACTCATTTGACTTAGCGGCAATCTGATTGGCTAAATTCTTTTGCCGATTCTTGTGTACCGTCATTCTCCATGTCGCTCCAGTTTAGAATAAACACATAAACAATATGATTGTATTGCCTTACTTTTGCCCAAAATTTGGACTGTGGTATAACTGTATCCATCGATTGTTTGTATATTGACTTGTGTATGTATCCCACCTACCCTATACCTTATGGATCAGTCAGTACCTATGATTGTTGTGCCTTATTGAGTTGTACCCAAGTCGCTTTATATTGGTCAAAATGATTTGTTCTAGCCAATCAAACAAATCAAAGTCGTAGAAATGGCTGAACACATTAAATCCGACCACGTACCTTATTGAGTTGTATCGATATGTACTGGATTTTTGCTTATATCGATTGTCATTGCGCACTCGACTATCGACTGGACATTGTACTGCGATCTCATAAATGGTGAATCATATCGGTCGTCCAAGTACCCAGTCCAATACGTCGATACTTCATGGTTCTTTTGTATAGGAGTGGACGAGGAAGTGCTCATGGCGCGGGCGATCGCGTTGTCGTTGTCCCCGGACGTGGGGTGCTTAAAGGACAACGACGTGCCCCCCCCTCCCCCCCCTCTCCCCCCTCTCCCCCTCGCGCCAACCACCGCCGATCGACCGCCGCCCGTGCCATTCACACCGGATGAATTGTGGCGCTTATGCGGCGACCCAGTGCCAGACCTGGTCGATGGCGCCACGGTCATCCTATATTGCATTGGAGCCTTGCTGGAAGACTGCCAAGCGTACCTGTCGAGCATCCATCGCCGTATTCTGCCGGCGCACAACCCCATCGTACCCCACCCGCTCACGTTTTTGCTGTTGCATTCGAATTTGGTGCACTTTTTGAATCACGAGGTGATTACGACGGCCGCCAGCGCAACCGACGCCATCTCGTCGTTGGACCGTAATGATGATGTGGTACGACTGTGTCGCCTATATATTTTTCTTTCCTCGTGTTGCATGCTGTACAGTGTCGCGTATATGCTGGCGTTTTACCTATACAATTTGGACACTTGTGGGCTGATTTGCCAACTCTGTCGATGGATTGTTTGTACGAATAGTTTGTATGGAAACAAAAATAGTCGTTGTCCTGTGTGGGGATTGGAATCACACTAATTTAGAATTCACACTAATTATATGTTCGTTGCCTGCTATATGAGATTCGCGTCCAAACGTTTGTTTTGCTTCATCCATTTGGTTGTGTCGATGATTCTTCCATGTCTCGCTCCAGTTGAGGAGAAACACAACTATATATATATATATATATATATATTGTGAATTCGCTATAAATATTCAAAACTCGCGTGGTTTGTCGAACCAATATATTAAATTACGCTGGAGTTCTAATTGGTTGAATCTATTTGTCCGTAAGAGCCGATCAAATACTCCGCTCCAAATTCATAGCGTCGACTCGACAGGATCTGAAAATCTGTACCGAATCCACAAGATATATATATATTGTTCCTGGTGTGGTGAATAATACTAGTATACTGTGTTGCATACTATTAAGATATGGAGACAAGATATATATCTTTCCTGGTGTGGTGAATAATACTAGTATACTGTGTTGCATACTATTAACATATGGATACGACTCGAATACGTTGATTTATATGTGTATGTTAGGTGGTGGCCGCTGGCCAAGTCGTGCTCTTGCATGTATTGGAACTCCATTTGTTTCACGTGGATGTGGTGGGTACTGTGCCTGCGTCGGTGGGTCTGGGGCAATCCGCAGCCAATCCGAACCCTGTACCGACCGCGTTGAAGCAGATTGTGGAGCGGTACACTACACGTTCATACGACGCTGTGGACAGGATGAGCCATCCCCTGGCAGAGCAGTACCGTGGCCGTGTTGGCGAACAAGCGATTGTTACATGGGTGCGTGGCCTCGCGCACTTTTACCCAGCGCACGCGAGTCGGCATCGGCTGCTCCTGACGCTGCTGGACGACATCCATGCCAACAGCTCGACACCAGCAACAGCGTTGAGAATGTATCAGCTGGACTTGATGTGCACGCGACTGGCGCTGCCTGATCTGGCAGTGTCGTTTACGCCTGTTGTGAGTAACCATACCAGCTTCAAGGTAGACGACGCTGCGCTACTACTTACGTCCAAGCTTGTGTGGTCCCCGGCTGCGATTCGCGAAGGATTGAACCAAGATACGTGCTCGATTCAAGCGGTTGTGGATCTCTGTCATGCAGTAGGCGGCAAGGATGATGGCCCCAAGTTAGCGCCATCGGAACAACACTCGATTGAACACGTACGTCATTCTCGACTTGGTTTATATTCATGTACGTACTTGTAGGTGGCAGAGTTGTACCAGCAGCTATACGACAAACAGCAAGCTCGTACGTACGACAGTTGGTCCGACTTGCCGCTGGTGGTCGATGCGTTGCTTCGCCACATCCGGTTGCATCCGGAGGAATATGACCCATCGCCACCCGCTGCGTTTGGCCATGCCCCCCTGATCCACGGCGCTCGTCCCACGGCACTTCTCCTGCTTCGGTCACTTCAAGAAGGGATGCTTCAGTGCCTCCATAGCCTTGCCGCTGGGGGAAGCGGCCAGTCGTTGTCGTCGCCAGTGTCGTTGGAATTTGACCCAGCCAGATGTGCGGAAACCCTGACGTTGGTCGACAACAACTCGAGCGCCAAGCAACATACGGCCAAGCAGTGGGGCATGGTCTTATCCACATATGCGTGTGCACCCAACACGGGCCTGCATGAATGGGCGGTGCGCCTCGACCGGTGTGAAAAAGGCCACGTGTTTCTAGGCGTATGCACGCGTGATGCGGCCGTGTCGACATACGTGGGCGGCGATCGGCAAGGCTGGGGACTCATCGGTACCCGCGCGCTATGGCATAACCGGAGCAAGGTCCGCGGCGATTATGGAGACGGCTTTAGCACGGGTAGCACGGTGCGTATCCGGCTCAATACGGACACTGGCGCGTTGAGCTTTGGGCTGGTGGACGACGACAGCGACTGGGGCACGGCATTTGATGGACTGACGCAGTACGGCGCGCTGTACCCGGCCATTGGATTGTACCAGCGGGACGACCAGGTCACGTTGGTGCCGACGTTCCACCACCACCCTCCGTCTGGTCCTCCTTCTGCGACACTGTTGCGCCGATCGACGCACCCCGTGTCACTGCAAAAACCACCATCGTCCGTCAGTGGGGCTAGTACTAGTACTACTAGTAGTAGCTTGGACCAGGACGTGGTGTTTGACACATTTGTCCAGTATACGCACAAAGTACTAGACGTTGAGCGGTTGAGTGTGCCGCTGTTGAGTGCGTTGGCGCTCATGACACCGGCGTGGCGGGTGCAGTTTGCATGGCAGTTGCTGCCTGCTTGCGTGGCCCTGACCAAGCGATTGGACCACGACCATATGTCGCTGCAGGTGCACATTGGCGGCACATGGGAGCTCAAAAGCAGCGCCGCGGGCACTATCCCTGCCCAGCAATACGTGGTCGAGTTGACCCAACAAGGCAACGAAAACGACAGTAGCACCAATACATTGACTGGGCAATCAGTGTCGACCAACGCTGTGACCTTGCAAGGCACGATCCGAGGCACCAAAGTGAGGTTCCTAGAGACGTGGATGCAGGGCAGCACGTGTCTGGTCACGGGGCGGGTTCGCGTTGATGGCCAAAAGTTTACAGGCACGTACCAAGACACCAAGAGCCACACGAGCGGACGCATTACGGGCGAGTGCAAGAGCCCCAAGGCGGCGGCGTCGGTGGACATGCGGGCCGTGCTGTATTTGGCGGCATCGACGCTGGTCGGCGCGTACATTTCGAGCTTTCTCGCGCACGACACGACGCCATTCTTGGCAGACTTGACGGGATTGCAAGAGGCGGCGGAGGAGGATGCGACATCCGTGTCGGCAGATGCTTCGGCGGAAGAGTACCAAGAATGGGTGGACAGTGCATTGTTTGCTGGAGGGTTGCCGCTGGCAGACATTCGACGACACTTGGACGATCATCATCCTCCTCGTTGTCATCGGCCCATGCTCGCGTGGTTTCAAGCTGTGTGGCCTCCGTTGCCACCAACTGGATCTGTAGACAACCAGAGTCCATTCCTGCAAGAGTTGCTGAGTGGTCGAGATGGAGTGGATGCTTATGTGACCAAACACGCAGGCGAGTCGGCGTTTGTACGATTGGGAGGTATGATATACATGTCTAATATCCCTTTTATGACATGGTGTGTGTGATCATGTTGGCTGCTGCTTCTTGCTTTGAAATTGGCCCCTCAAAGTAGCAGTTTACGTTATACCAAAGCTCGTAGTGAGCCTTGTGACATGGTGTACTGACCTTTGAAACACTTGCGCTTGTCCAAAGATAATGTAGGCAGCGTTTTTTTCATGTTGAATCATATTTCGTGGTGCTTTGTATCCTCTCGTTTAAAGTATGAGCTCGCCATGTAGTTAGTTGCCTCTACTTTTTTTACAAATCACGACGGCGGTTTCTCCTAGGCGAAGCGATGAAAACGGCCAAGCGCACAGTCTTAGCTGCGATGTTGTGGCACGGCCACGTCACAGCCATCGACACGAGTCAACCAGACTCGCGACCGAGCGAAAACATTTTGCACATCTGGCGGTCGGCGCACCGCGTGATTGAATGGGGCATCCGCATGAAGAATGCCAACGCAATGACATATGCCAGCGTGGCCGCACTCATCACCCGCCGCGCGCGGTTCTTGCTGCGCCTACAGCCCTCCGTCCGCGGCCTCGTGTTGCAGGAGCGAGCATTCTCGGAAATCGTCATGCTCGTGTCCAGGTACAAATATATTCATTCCACGTGTGTGCAATCAATTTCAATGATATATATATATTGTCTTTTCTCTAAATTTGGCAGACTTTTGATTCACATCGATGTGGATTTGGTTGAATACGAGTGTGGATAATAATTTGATTGGCTACTGGATGCGTGTTGTGGGTTTTGATTGGTCAACATATCGATATTGTCGTGGCCGATTGGGATATTCTGCTCATATTCGATTGAGAGCGCACGTAAACACCTACTGGTAATCAATCGACAATATAGTGGTTTCGAGTGAAATTTCATTGTGTTGTGGTTTCTCGTTGGAGTTTCAATCGATTTGATTGGCTACCTCCGATGAGCTCAAAATTATTAGCCAATCAAAACCTTGTCAATAAAATTCAACAACTAATCCGATTTCGATTGTGGTTTGGTCGGCGCATCGATTCGATTGCACCCCCAAATATTTGTACTATCAAATCGACAATATCACATGGGTATGTCTTTTCATATAGGTTCGTGGAAGCGGGGGTACAACTGCAGCGGTTGGAATCGATGGTGTTGCGCAACTGTTCGCGCGCGTACCTTCGCATGATTGGGCTCAACGCAATGCGAGCTGTGGTGGAGCTAGGGCTGCAAACCAGCGCCGGACTCTGTGCGGTGCTCCAATGGGTGAGCAATCACGACTCGTTAGAGAGTCTTCGGCCCAGTGGTACTGGTACCTCCCATTACTTGGATGCATTGGGCGGGGTTGGCTCGACGCTACAGCGCCAAGTCCGAGACTCATGGGAGCAATTGTATGGCCATTTCGCTGCGCTATTGTCTCGAGCTACATGGGCAAAAGACTCGGACTTGCAACTGGTGGTGCTGCAGGCTTGGGGGATTATTATCATACCGGACGATCACGCGTTCATCTCTCGCATGGGTATATTCCGCATTTTGCAAACCGTGCTGGACGAAGCCAGGTCATCGCCGGTGTCTTCGCCATGCCCTTTGTTGGCAGACGACAACAGCAACCCCACGAAACCTATTGTACAGGCCGCGCTCAAGGTATAGGAAAAAGATATATCTTGTGCATGCGCTATACACGTCCGTATGCAAACTATTAATATTATATTTATTTTATTTTTTAAATTGAATATCACGCTAGAGATTTCGGATATATATTGGTGGAATCTACTTGTTTAGATTGTGTGTTTGGCTCAACATTGAATAAACCACCTTTGAAAGTTTATACTTCACAAAGATTAAAACTCAGTTTACGACCTTTGTGACTGCAATACTACAATCAATCTTTTTAGCCAACCATATTGCAACGTTCATTCTTTGTAGCCAATCATAGACTCGTTTGCTCGATTACTTGGCGATTTCATATCAATTCCCCAAAATAGAGGCAAATGTGACAATAACAGCAGCAGCCAATCCAATATAACACTTTATATAACACTTTATATTGGATTGGCTGCTTCTGTTATTGTCAAATTTGCCTCTATTTTGGGGAACACTTTAAATACGAGCCAATAGCGTCGATGCTTCGTGATTCGACGAGATATGGAGTCTGGAAGTACCGAATCCACAAAATATATGCATTGTAGTGGTGTCGAACAAGGTTTCACAAAGTTTGGTTATTGATTTGTTTATATGCTGTAGGTGGTCCATCTGCTAGCGGCCCAAGTCGCGACGAGCAGCCACGCCGAAGAAAGCAGCACTAGTACTAGTACTGACGTGAACACGACGATCCCGTTGGTGCGGCAGCCGTCGGGGCCTGAAACCCTCGGCAAGAGTGTATTTAACATGCTCTACACGGAACTCCATAATGCGTGCCAGGAAGATGTGGGGCCGCAGCACTATTGCTACCAGATTTGTTCGCTCCTGCACTCGGTCAGCGGCGCCGCCATCTGCCGCCAGCACTTGTCGTCTGGCCGATGGCTCGGTCTGTTGCTGCAGCTCGTGGAACGAGGTAATGATCAAATATACTACTGATTGCCCCAATATGGTGCTGATTCTTTGCTGTCTTTTACCCAATATTTTGGACTTTTGTGCTGATTCTTTGCCAAATCTATCGATCGATACATTGTACTGCCTTTTGCATGTAAAAGGTGTGCTGTGGTGATTGGTATCACACTAATTGAAGTCGCACACTATTTTAACGTCCGTCGGGATTTCCTGCAATCGGTTTCGTTCGATCGTTCTTTGTGCTCTTGATTCTTGGGTACATACATTCGGTTATGTCGACACCTATGCTCGTGTGCCCACTACGACTACTAGTACTATTACTAGTAGTATTACTATTCCTAGTACATGACATGAATAATGTTTTCATACTAGGCACGTTTGCGATTCAACAACGTGTACTACAGCTGCTACGTCGACTGCTTCCATATTTGTCACCTCTGACGCTACACATTCAAGCGGATGACGTGTACATGGGCGCCGACAGCTCCCGCAATGCGTCGCAACTGGTGGGATTTTTCCTCGACCTTCTCGGTCGGTTGGTCCCGCCCCCATCATCATCCTTACCTGACCATGGCATAAGTGTACCGGAAAAGCCCACGTTGAAGCTCCATCATGGCTGCGGTGTCGAAGTGGTGCTGCTGTTGCGTTCATTGTTATTGGCGTCAGAGTGGGCGCCTCTGTTGCAATCTGTATTTTTGCAAGCCTTGTCCCCCGACTCCACGGGTACGATTTGGTAACCGTTGGTTCTATATATATATATATATATTGTCTGTAATATTTGGCTGGCTATTGGGCTGATTCTTTGCCAAATCTAATAGATTCGTTGGTTGTACTGACTTTTGTAAACATCGTCCAATGTCACACACACTACTTCGATAATGTTGAATTGTCGAATGTGAGTGGATAATCATTTGATTGGCTACTTGATTCGTGTTGTGGGTTTTGATTGGTCGTATATCGATTGCTGCTACTCATTCGATTGAGCTCCCCTTCCCCCAAACTCTCCAACTTCGAATATATATATATTTATATTGTTGGTAGACTTTCAATCGCGGGCGTTGGCAGTGCTTTGTGTGTTGGGAGGACATATTGAAGGGCTTCAAGTGGGCATGGTGATTCAGATTTTGCCAAAAAGCCATGGGACGACCCAAGAAGTCATGTTTCGGGGTGCCAAGGGCGTGCTGGTGGCATTGGATGTCGAAAAAGGCTCGGCCGAAGTGCTCTTGCAGAAAAATACCGCCGCGGGTACGATATATATATGGTTGACCTTGTACATATGTACATACGGTTTTGTACATGGTCGCCCACGCGATCAAATCTTCATTCCCCGACTACATTCCAAATATAAAAGATTCTATATGTATTATATTTATATATATTATATTCGAAATAATTGACGTTTATATGTGTAGTGTATTATATATCTATTCTTCATGTTGTCTTGGATTTCCTCATGACATGTTGACTATATATATATATATATATGTATAGGATTTATTTTTTGGTATGATATTTTTCTGATGGTTATAATATATATATATATAGGTGCTTCGACCGAGTTGAGTTTGAGTACTTTAAATCGGCCGATCCGAGTGCCGTTGGAGGACATTGCGGCGCTGCCAGACGTCGAGTGCAAAGGTGGCGATCTGTCGCGAGCCTTTTTGAAGCACCTGGTTGAATCGAATTTGCCGCACTTTCTAACCAGTGTATTGACTGACCCAATAACCCCATCACAAGACCAACCAAATGAGAATCGCGACCATCTCATGGGGCTGCTCCTGGGTCTGGTGGGGTTCCGTGCACTGGGGTCGCTCGTCCAATCAGATGACGAGAACGACCTGGTCTTGTGCGATTGCATTCCGTTGCTGTTTCAAGTGGCTACGATTCACACGCAAAACCCATCCGACATTAGCTTGCTCGAGGAACACTGGGTCCAGCGATACAAACTCTGGTATGACGTGCAGTGTCCGGGTGGGGTTGACGCACTAGACGATGCGTCGGCCCCGCCGTCGGCGCTATGCCAGCAAATGATGGAGATGGGGTTTCCCCGGGAATGGTACGGTCGTAATCAGTGTGTTGTGATTCGTGATGATTATGGTTGTATGACATAGGTGTGACGTGGCCCTGCTAAAGTGCTCGTACCAAGTCGAAGCCGCCATCAACTTTTGCTTTGAGCATTCCAGTGACATGGACCGACTGGTGAAACAGCCGACTGCCCGATCGACTGGCCGGATGCCATCACCTCCGACGTCTTCAACAAGTACCCGGCCGGATGTGTCGCCGATCCTGTTGGAACAGCTCAGTGAAATGGGATTCCCACTCACGTGGTGTCGAAAAGCCCTGGTACGGATACCATATCTATATCTAGTATTTATTTATTTCGATCTATATATATATATAGTATATATTTGTTGGATTGTACATAGTATTTATTTATTTCGACCTATACATATATATAGTGTATATTTGTTTGACTGTACATAGTATTTATTGATTATATAAATATACATATAGTATTTATTTAATTAAATCGATATGTATAGTATTTGTACATAAATATATATTTGACTGTGCATAGTATGTATGGATTATATAAATATACATATAGTATTTATTTATTTAAATCGATATGTATAGTGCTTGTACATATATATATATATATATATATATATATTTATTTGACTATACACAGTATTTATTGATATATGCTATATAGTTTTGTATATAGTGAGTTGAACTGTGGATGGTTAGATTGCCAATCGCAACAACGTGGATGCAGCATTGACGTGGATTTTATCGAATGGCGAAGCGTTGGAAGCAGACGACCGTCGGCAACAAGACCAAAAAGAGGCCTTTGGTGACACGATAGACGAGAGTCCACTTGTCACGGCGGTATCAACTAATAATAGTATTGGTTATAAATATATATTTATTTTTAAATATTGTAGAGCATCCCGCAAGGACCAAATCCGTTGCGTCCCGTGAGTGGTTTGGCGACCATCAACGACGACATGCTCGTGGAAGGATCGGCCGGCGGCGGGTTTGCTTCGGTTGGGGCCCCTGATTGTATCGTTCAAACCGGCAAATGGTCATATATATATATATATATATATATATATATTAACCGATACTCTGTGTTTATAGGTACTACGAAGCGACCTTGAGTACCTCTGGGTGCATCCAGATCGGGTGGGCAGACGCGGCGTTTAGCGGGGCGTCTGAGCGGGGCGACGGCGTCGGCGATGGTCCGCACTCATGGGCATATGATGGATGGCGGCAGATGAAATGGCACGGCAACAGCAGTTCGTACGGTATCAAGTGGAAATCCGGCGATGTGATTGGCTGCGGCGTCGACTGCGATGCCGGCCTGCTGTTTTTCACGCTCAACGGCCAGTACATGGGCGTAGCATTTCGTGGCGTCCAATTTGCAGGAGGTATATTTTACAAGTTTGAAGTATATTTATAAGTTTTACATGGGTTATTCGTTGTATGGTTGGTACCTACCTATATATATATAAAGTCATGGAGGACTGGTCATGTGTATGTATAATGCAGACGGAAACGCCATTGATGATCCTACGTACAGATAATTAAATATGATTATATTGATTGAATATGATTGTTACCCCTGTGATGAATTCATTCTAAAACAGCGCTGTTATATGGTTGTTTCCCCAACATATTTGGACATTATTATTGGGTGATTCATCTATATCGATCGATTGTGTCGACTAATTTTTTAAAAATGTAAAAAAAGGTGTCTCGTTTGTAAAGTAGAAACATGTGGTTTGGATTTATTTAAACGATATATAAAAAGGTAAGAATTGTTGATGTCATACTTTTTTGATGCGGGTTTCCTGCTGGTCAATCTAATTGGCTCAATACTGCCGATTCTTCTGTACATATTATCACTCTCGTTTTATAATAAATCCACAACTATGTCAATAATGATCACTCTAGTTTTATAATAAATCCACAACTATGTCAATAATGATCACTCTAGTTTTATAATAAATCCACAACCATGTCAATAATGATCACTCTAGTTTTATAATAAATCCACAACCATGTCAATAATGATCACTCTAGTTTTATAATAAATCCACAACCATGTCAATAGTGATCACTCCAGTTTTATAATATATCCACAACCATGTCATTATTAATCCTGTTGTAGGCATGTACCCGTGTGCTTCGTTTAACCGACGAGAGCGGCTGACGTTCAACTTGGGTGGACTTCCATTTCAGTACCCCATCGACGGGTTTTCTCCCATATTGCATGCTATTTGGACCCCTTCCAGTGCTCCGAGGTATATAGTCTACATATATATATAGTGTATATTTTTCCTGCAATTTGTGCTCGTGGTATACTACTACTAGTATATTTTATTGACATGGCAACGTGTAATATATAACATATATTGTGCTTTCGAGTGAAATTTCATTGCGTGGTTTCTCGTTGGGATTTAAATCGATTTGATTGGCTACCTCCGATGAGCTCAAAATTATTCGCCAATCAAAACCTTGTCAATGAAATTCAACAACCAATCCGATTTCGATTGTGGATCGGTTTGGTCGGCGCGAGATTCGATTGCCCCCCCCTCCCCATCATATATTAGTATCAAATTTGACAGTATATGGTCTAGTTATGAAAAGGGTCAACACGAAGACTGTTTGGAAGAATACGTGGGCGAAGAGTACTTTGATTGCCGGTACTTCGCCAAGGACCTCAAGGCGACTGCAGGCAGCACGACCACCTCACGTGTGAAGCCATCCACGGTGGACCCGACTTCAGACTTTGCCGAATTGACGCGGTCATTAGCGATATTACACTGTCGCAGACTGCTCTTGACCATCTTGGCGGCCTCTCGATCGAGTAATCTGCTCAACGACGTACCCACGGAGCTTGTGGGTACATTTTTGAAGCTTGTGGCATCGTACACGTCGCCAGCGTCGACCGTGTCGGAGCTATTCAAAGCGGTGACTGTCGACACGATGAGTCCGCGGCTAGAAGTATCGCTGGTGCAATGCATCGATGACCAGATTCGTATGGCATCCCGTCGCAAGTACGCCAAGATCCACTGGGATTGCGGCGTCGAAGCCATCGTAACGAGCCAACTGTCGACGTTACACTGCTCCGACGGTGGCGGCGGCATGCTCCCGTCTGTGTGGCACGATAGCCACGTGTTGGTCCATCCCAATGTTGGGCTGGCGGAATACCTCACGACATTGTTGGCATCAAAGCAACCGGCCCCACTGGTTCAAGCGTGGAGCTACGCGCTTCGATCGCCAAGCATGACGTTGAAAGAGAAGGCATTTCGCATCCTATCGGGGCTGGTGCCGCATGTGCCAGAGTCGGCGCTCGCGTGTATCCCAACCACCCGCCTGCATGCGATGACGGTGGCTCGGCTGACGAAAGAAGCCATACACTTTCCCATCGCGTCCAAGTACCTGCAAAGTTTGATGGAGCTCACGTCCACGTTGGTCGTACAGTCGACATGTACTACATGTATTCTGTCGACGGATCACAACAATCAACGGCGGATTGCCCACGCGATCAAAACCCAACACGAGCTCGACCAACTCCCATATAACGTCGTGCAAGTGGGACACACGTCGACGAGTTGCCCCCCCCTTGTGGTGCCCGTGTTAACCAGAGAAGAAGACGACGACGACGATGAAATGTCATCCGAAGATCAGAACGCCGCCATGTCGTCGTCGGCGGCGCCGATGACCGCTGCTGCTGCCGTCGAGTCGAGGTCGCCGGCGACTGGCCCGCCCATCTCCGCATCCTTCTTGACCCCTGCCCAACACCAGATTATCGTTGCCGCACATCATGGGTTCAAAGTGCTCGACGATCAAACTCGCCATGGGTTTGAAATAGGTGTTTTGAGTGACGAAGCGTCGCAGTATTGGAGTGGCCAGTTGAGTCAGCACGAGCTCTTACCATTGACCACAGTCCCCCCAGTCAAAGAAGAAGAAGAGATAGCAGCCCCCCCCCCCCTAACCATTGGCTGCAAAGTGATCCGAGGTCCGAATTGGAAATGGAGAGATCAAGATGGAGGCCAAGGCAGTATCGGCGTCGTTGAAGGTATCAGTCCATGGAGCGGCATTGAAGGCGAAGGTATATATATATATTTATTGCTCTTATATCGAACTCGTTTTGGATTGCTTGTGCAGCATAATTATTTTATAAAGATTCTGAATAAAAAATAAAGTTAAAAAAACGCGATCAGATCAAACTCGATATGAATTTTTTTAAATGCATTTTGTGTTGAATTAATTTATGACTATTTTAACAATAAAAATATTGTGATTAGTCGTGTAGGTTGAGCAGGTCAAATTCAAGCTATGAAACAAATTCATTCATGGACACCTTATTTATCTTTAAATATATAAATCACATTGTTCAAGTGAAAATCACACATCTACTATACATTTTTGAATGGTTTATTTGCATAGGTATGAGCGTGCGGTGGCCAAACGATGCCTTGTACACGTACCGGTGGGGTGCAGATGGTCAGTACGACCTCACGCATGTCCAAGTGGACAGCGACAACCACATTGTGACATCATTCCCGACTCCCCAAGCTCCCCAGCCGTCGACAGACCGCGTCCACCTCGGCGTCATCTTTCGGCTTCATCGCACTGATAACGCCGCCGCCGCTGGCATATCCGGCGTCGTTGAATACCCCGACATGAATGCGGTGATTGCCGTGGCAGGGCAGTACGTGGATGAATCGATTCAACTGGTGGAACTCGGCATGATCCAAGGCGATGTGGACATGGGGTGGCACGCCAAATTTGGCTGCGATCGGTGGGTCCCGGGCACTCTGTACGAACTGACCCAAGATGGCAGTCACTTGCACGGACAGTATAGCCACAGCCTATGGCAACCCGAGGCAAAGTCGTGGGCACCTATCCAAGGGCGCGTGCAAGCCCAATCCCAGCATTTGTTTGCACTGGACAAACAAGCCACGTTTGCCGCCAGCTTGAGCGTGAGCGACGACGGACTCGCGGTCACGTGCACGTCTGGTGAAGCGAGGAACTTGAGTCTGGGCACCGTCGGGTTTAGCAGCGGCATTCATTACTGGGAAGTGCGCGTCGATCACGCCGAGTTTGGCAGTGTATTCCTTGGCGTGTGTGAGAAGCATGTCAAGGGCCAGCCGTCGCTCAACTTGGGGCGGTGGCAGGGCTGGGGCTTTGTGAATTTTCGAGCGACGTACCACAATTCGACCGAGCGCATCTACGGTGATCACTTTAACGCTGGCGATACCATTGGGGTGTGCCTCAACATGGAGTCGGGTACGGCTACGGCTACTATGTAGTAGTACTATCTATCTATCTATATATCTCGTGTGTAGTAGTAGTAGTAGTAGTACTTACTATCTATCTAGCTATGTATCTATATATATATATATCGTGTGTAGTAGTAGTAGTACTTACTATCTATATATCTATATATATATATATATATATCGTGTGTAGTAGTAGTAGTACTTACTATCTATCTATCTATATATATATATATATAGATATATCGTGTGTAGTAGTAGTACTATCTATATCTATATCTATCTATATATCTCGTGTGTAGTAGTAGTACTATCTATCTATATCTATATATCTCGTGTGTAGTATTAGTAGTACTATATATATATTTATATATCGTGTGTGTTTAGGTTGTGGATGGATATAGGATGTAAAACGTATTGAGTTTGACAAACGTTGGAGTAATAGATGATTTGTATCCAAATCCATGGATCGGTGGTGTTATATGTCATACTTTGATGAAAATATTCCTCGGGCAGTAATTCGTTGAATGAATTTGGCAATTGTTTGACCCAATATCATACCGCAACGTTGTAGCCAATCCTACATGTTGTCGATTTCAACAATCCGCCAATATATATATACCAATTTGGGTGAAATATTCAATCTATGTGTGTGTATCTCCTCCCGTTTAGACCCAAAAACAAACCATACTCGAACCAAAACTTGTAAATATATACTAATTTGAATTCTGCGAGTGTATATATATATACATATATGACAAGTGTGTCTGGATAGGAAAATTGAGCTTCTTCATGGATGGTATCAAGTATGGCGAGCACATTGTGACCGATTTAGGCGTGGCATTTGATGGGTTAAAGTCTGATCGCCACATCAAGACACTGTACCCGTGCATTGGGCTTCGCAAAGCCGGGGACCAGGTGACTCTGAACGGCAAGTGGGTATCGCACCCAGGCTTGTCGTCCACTTTGCTCTACCAAGATCACGTCGAGCTACAGTCTGTGTTGCATGCATGGGCAGGTCGGGACGACGTGTTGCCGCTGGCGTTTATGCAGGCCAGTTATGCGTTTTACTGCCGATGGCGCACAAATCGGTACCGCCGCGTATCGATCCGAGCTAAGGGCATGACCATCGATGTGGATACGTCTGTGGAGCGATGTGTTCAAGTATGTCGAGACAGCCCCACGGTGCTTGTGACTGGCGACCGCGTCAAGATTATCAGCAAAGGCGGTCGGGCTCTGGATGCGCCAGAAGAAGCGATTGTGTTGGGTACGTCAGTGTATATATAACTGTATTCGATTTTTCTATTGTGCTATGAATTTAATAGACTTTTGTGCCCAAATCTATCGATTGAGTTTGGTATGTAAAATTTGTAAGTCACATACATCGAATTCGATCTTGTTGGTCAACAAGCATTGGATTGGCGACTTGATTTGCGATCTGGGGGGGGTTGATTGGTCGATCATCGATTGTTACTATACCTCTTTATCCAATTTCGAATCATCGACTTATAGAATGGTGTTGTATATATCATATGATAATATAGGGGTGTACCGCAATCGATTGTGGTATCGCGTGGAAACCCAAGGCAACGAAGGCGGCGACGAAGGACGAGGGTATGCCTGGTATTGGGACCCTATCGAGTTGCCAGAATTGGTGTTGATCCAGCGAAATGGCATCGACATTGGTCAATCCGACACCACCACGATTCCACCCCCCAGTCCAGAGTCCATCCCCACCGGTTCCCGCTTGCTTGGCTTTGACGAGTTCCTCCAGTTGGCTCAAGGCACTTATGCCAAGGACATTCCCCTTGTAGACCACATCAACGCTTTGTGTGCGACTGTGGGCGTGGACGTGGTGAACTTGCCCTTTGAGGCCGTCGCAGAGGAGCTGCAGCCGCGGGTAGCCGTGCTCATGATGCTCAACCAAAAGGTCCTGCGCAGTCTGCCCCTGGTTCGGTTTCACGACCGCAGTGTCCTCCGCCACCTCACGTTTACCAGCACCAAGCTGAGCTTTTGGGACGCTACGCTCAAGGCGACGGCGACCCCCACGCCCCTCCCCTCAGACGAGTACGAAGACCCGAGGGAGATCCGCATCTTGAGAATCAACCGGATCCAGGCACAGCCATCCAAGCTCGCGCTGTGTCCGTCGCCGTCGGACCGACTCCGCAAATCTGTGTTTGGCCAACTGTACCGCGAAATGCGCACGTGGAGTGACTCGGGTACCTACGCATATATATATATATATTTTTTTTTTATATCGACTATATATATATTTATATTGACTATATATATATATCGACTATATATATCGTAGATAGATGCAATGTTTAAAATTGGGATCTATATATATCTATTTATATCGACTATATCCGATTTGACTGGATGTTTGTATCCAGGAAATGATAGCTCCTGATTGTTTTTTTTTATTCCACAAAGTATTGAATTCATTTAATTCTGTGTGTTGTAAAACAAGCTTGTGTGCACTTTGATGCGGTGTTTTCAATGTGTTCAATATTTAAAAAATCACTGATAGAGTTGGTTTTGTGATGGGATATTTCCCAATATATATATATATACACTCACGGGTATATATAATTTTGTATTGTTATTATGTATGTAGGCTTTCGACGAGCGTACACTGGAAAGGGCCACGGCGGGCAAAAGCGGGCATTTAAAGTCAAGTTCCTTGGCGAAGGGGTCAACGATTACGGCGGGCCATACCGCGCAGTGTTTGAGCAAATCGTGGACGAATTGCAGGTATGATAATCGATATTCCAATGGGATGATACAATCAATATATTTCATCAAATATCTCAATCTTTCATATATATCTATATTGTTGGAGAGAAAGGAATCACATGTTTCATAGAATAATCAAATATGTCAATCTTTCATATATATATATATATTGTTGGAGAGAAAGGAACCACATGTTCACTTTATCATGCGTGGTAGATGGATCAAGTGGAACTTACCAAGGGCGAACAAGGGTTACTACCTCTGTTGGTACCATGTCCGAATCGACGGTCTGGCAGTGGCACCAACCAAGACAAGTTTGTGCTCAACCCGAGCTGCGGCACGATTTCCGCGGCGGTGGGGCCGATTGCATTGGAATTGCATCGGTTTCTGGGCAAATTGGTAGGCACGGCCGTGCGCCATGGGCTGCAAATGGGTCTGGACCTGCCGTCCGTGGTGTGGCGGCCGCTCGTGGGTCTGCCGCTGAATCGGCATCACGTTGAAGACATTGACGTGGTGGCATTCAATACACTGACCAAGCTGGAAGCGATGCCGTTGTCTCGAGATGCCGTGGAATACTGCAAACAGTTTACGTTTACCACGCACTTGAGCGACGGGACCGAGGTACGAACCAGTACTAGTACTAGTACTACCTACTGCTACGAAACGATTACTAGTATGACCTAATGATTACTAGTATGTTTGACGTATAAGTCGTTTGAGTACAAACTACTGGACGAATCAAAAAAAGATGGCAAATATGGGAAATATATAGTAGTACAGATATATGTGTCGTGACTGGATGTGGTGTGTGAGTGTAAACATATTACATATACTAACTAGTATATTTCACATGGAGCATAGTAGTTCTGTAAATACTCGAAAATCGGAAATATATAGTTGTACAGATATATGTGTCATGACTGGATGTGGTGTGTGAGTGTAAACATATTACATATACTAGTATATTTCACATTGAGCATAGCAGTTCTGTAAATACTCAAAAATCGGAAATATATACTAGTACAGATATATGTGTCGGGACTAGATGTGTTGTGTGGGTATGTAAACATATTACATATACTAGTAAATTTCACATTGAGCATAGTAGTTCTGTAAATATTAAAAAATCGGATATATATATAGTAGTACAGATATATGTGTTCCGACTGGATGTGGTGTATTTGTGTAGGTGCCACTACGACCGGACGGGGAGACCCAGCAGTTGGACTTTGCGTCGCGTGAAAAGTACGTCGACTTGAGCTTTGCCAAACGGTTGGTGGAGAGCGGCCCCCAACTGGCGGCGTTGCGAGAAGGGCTGAGTGCGGTGATTCCCATGGAAATCGCGGGATTGTTCACTGCAAAAGAGCTGGAAACACTCGTGTGCGGCCGCCGCGAAGTGGACGTGGCGCTGCTCAAGCAATGCACAGAGTACGAGGATGTGGACCCGACCAGTGCCCATATTGTGGCGTTTTGGCAAGTGCTCGAGGAATTTTCCCCCGACGACCGCACGTTGTTCTTGTTGTTTGTATGGGCGCGCAGTCGCATGCCGAATTCCGCAAAGGATTTTCCAATGAACTTTAAAATTCAGGTACGACGGACGGTATTAAATCATATTTGTCTAGTCATATCAGATATTTTGGTCCTGACAAATATATATATATTGGGGTAGGCCCCGCATGACCAAGGTGCACGAAGCCAGCCGGATCTGTACCTGCCTCATGCTCAAACGTGCTTTTTCTCGCTCAGCCTCCCGGCCTACTCGACCAAAGCGATCTTGAAAGCCAAACTGCTCTATGCGATTCGAAACAGTCCCAACATGGACGCCGATGTCCGCTTGCACAATGCTGAAGGATGGGCCGATGCCTAGGATGTGTATGCAGTCGGGAAATATATACAACAGATAATATATATATTGCCAAATTTCTCGACAGGTTTTGATCCTTTGGAAACGTGTTCGACTCGGTTGCTAGTCCATTTCGCATGTTGTTCTTAGCATACGTAGGCCTGTTGTCGTTGATTGCTTTGCTTACATGTGTCTATTTGTAGTCTACACTTCGACGTATATATTCTAGATAAGTTGTCACAACAGTAGCTGCAACCCCCAGAACCATTTCAGAATGGGCTAAACGTTGCTAATACTTCGAATGATATATTTGGACCTGTTCACCCAAATGAATAATAAATACTACGTACAGTAGTAACCTCACTATACTAAATTTATTGTAACGGCGCTGTAACAATATAGTACGAAAAAGGTATCACCACCAACCAGATTGATGAAAACTGGATTCAAATCGGAGGCACAAACTTTAATTCACACTGGTAGTGGTGATAAATCGACGAACTGGCTGTGTATGCGGTCGTCATGTGGTGGCTGCATGGTCAACCTTCGTCCCAATCATCGTATATCCCTATTGACTAATTGCCCCAAAGTTGGAATTGCCCTATTTCATTGTATCGTTTCCGTACTCATGGTGAATCAATCTATCCAAGATATTGTGCTAAATCCGTGATTTGACAAGATAAACAACGTGATTTTTGCATTATTCGTACACGTTCAACCGACGGGGGGTTCGTGCTGACGAGGTGCAGTACTGACGTTCGTACAGCTCATAGTGTTGTAGGTATGGCATAGCTTTGAATCATTGGAAAGCGTAAGCGGTATACAAGCCTCAATAATGCCACATAGTTTAATCCAGATAAAAATCGAGGTCAAGATAATCTTGCACAGTTTAATCAAGATAAAAATTAGGGTCAATATAATCCAGTATACTTTAATGAAGATCATTTATACTGTGAAAAACGGAATAGTAAAAATATGCATTTTAGGGACAAATCAATGGTGTTAATTATCTGAACCAAACGCGAGAACGCCCATCGTAGATACTCTCTGGCAGGTATAACCTAACCTTCTATACCTCTACTCCTTATACCGCACTTTTCAAAGACATTCCCCCAGATACACTCGACACTCCGACTAATACGATTGCACGCAACACGAATGGGTTGAGCGATCAATATTTTACCGAAGGCCGTGGGTGTAGTAACACTTTTAACAATTTTTATTTTATTACTGAAGTAATATTTTAACAAAAATTGTGGGATGGATTCCTTGCGACAGTTTGAATTTATCTCCTGTTAGGAGGATGTGCCCAAATATATTTGCAACGGTTAACGGGATATTCTCAGTGCAGCCCTACAATAACGGAATCAAGTCGCTACGTGAAATCTATTTGCAACAGTTGTGAATTCGCATTGGAGGCCACTATAGCCAGGAGTTCGCCGCACCTTGACCGTTCTCTACTATATGCGTGGGCGGGCGATACTTTCGCAGCGTAGCCCAGGTAGGCTTGCTTCTGATTTTCGTGAGGGGAACGGTGCATTGCCGGGGGTTAGCAAAAGTAACCCACTGGTGATGCGCCAAACTCCGGAAAATGAAGACTGCACTTCAACCTAACTACTGTAGGTTGCATGGCGCCAGATTTCCGATATATTTTTTTGCTCTTCGCGGGGCACATTCTTGGGTTCACATTTTCTTTCTTTTGAAGTGCTCTTAAGTGATTCCCTGTCAGCACACTAGCATAGCGGCGTGTTCCTCACTCAGCCCGTCCGGATACAGAGTACCGTTAGGTTAATCAAGTGAGGCCAAAATATCCTCACGCCACAGGAAAGTGGATTTTGAGGATATTACTGAACTCATTCGATTTGATGAGCCGCGATGCTGTAGAGTTCTTCCTTGGTCAAGCCTTTGTAGTCAAATAGTTCGGAACTTTGGAACGAAGAGGAGCATTTGATATCGTCGTTCAGGATAGAGGGATTGTGCAAGGAGTTAACGAGCACAAACACATTAACGGTGGGCGATTGTTGGAGCGATTCAAGCACGCTGGCATGTATTTTATGTTCACTGGCCGCGGCCATGGCCACGATAGACAGGACGACAGCAGTTTTCATCGCAGAGTCAATTCAAGAATGAGAGGATCGAGTCGCACAATGCAAATGGCAGAGTTGATCTTTATATGTGGGATTTGTGTACAGCTTTTCGCACCGTATAGTCTTTGTGACAATAACGGTAGGTAAATATACTTGCACTCGAACTCGAAATTGGATTAGCCAATAGCGTCCATTCGTGAGTCGATTCGAGGGCGAGATTCGATTCGATCTATTTCCCTTTTGAAGTGTTTTGGGCATCACAGTGTCCAAGGAAGGTTTATTTAATGGAGCTGAGAGTTCGATCGCCCTGTCAATCAAGTGCAATTTCAGTTTCACGAGAATAAAAACTCAACTTGCACTGATGCCCCATCAATACCTTACCTGTCTAGTCCCAGTACATCTAGCTACGACAGTTCACTGGAATTCACGTGGCAATTGGGCCACACTGTAGTGCAGTTCCCAGGCATCATTCCGAGTTTTGACGTGGCACTGGCATGACAACCTCGATCGAATCGGCTGGTCAAGTGGCTACCGCGATTCGCTCTGCGCTAGCCCACGTTGATGTCGAAACGAAGAGTTTGGAAGCGAAGATGGCTGAGTGGGCCGAGCTCGAAGCCCGGGTGCAGGCGAATATCAACAACCATCCGAATATTGTCTCGTTGAACGTGGGCGGGACGACGTTCGAAACGTCCAAACAAACCCTCTTGCGTGGACAAGACACGTACTTTCACGCGTTGCTCGGGTCTGGACAGTGGACACCCGACGGCGACGCGGCGTACTTCTTGGACCTGGACCCGCATCTGTTTCGCCGTGTGCTGACGTTTCTCCGCACTGGAAAGGAAGTGTCGATGGAGGGGTTGACCAACGACGAGCGGGACGAGCTGGCGTCCATGTTGGAGTATCTCAAGCTGGAGAAGCGTCCGCAGCCTTTGCCCGTTCCGATCGTGAAGCCTGTAGAATGGGACTGTCAAACGCACTCCCCGGGCATGGAGTTGACGAATCAAGGGAAATCGATTCAAGGATGTGCGAGTGTGTCAAAGTGGCAGTGTGCCGCCGCCACCAACCCGCTCACGGGCACGTTCAGAGTCCGCGTGGACAGTACCCGTGGCGAGTTTCGCATCGCCCTGTCCCCCCCCGGAATCGACGTCTCGTGCACGACTTCAACGATCAAGTGCTACATGTACGCGTCCAACGGGGTCGTGTTCAATAGGAACAACCAAGTCGCGATTGTGTCTGCGTTGAAGGCGGGCGACGTGGTGACGATGCAGCGCGGTCCATCGCGGGTGAACTTTTCCCTGAACGATGGAAATATAATAGCGGTGATGTTTGTGGACTCCCCGTCGGGGATGTTGTTTCCCGTGGTGTTCATGCGTGGACAATCGAAATTTACGATTCTGGACTAAGGAATACTACCATGAAAGATGTCGTACGTGCGTTGTTTCGGAAATTATTGGGTTAAAGTAGAGCCGCCTCAAGAGTGCCTGTGACTCTAGCTTTTGCCTCGAACTTTCCACAGCTCGGTTTTAAATCTCGCCCGTAACGAGGGGAACACGTTAGTGTAGGTAGATGGCACTGATCCTAAGCCATATATATAT